ATATATATAATTAAAAGTATTTTACTTGATAAAATCAAACTGAATGTTTTTATGTTTCATAAAATTCATTATATTTTAGCAATTTTGTTATTAACAACAATTTTTATTCTCATTGCAACGATCACACAATGTTATTGTTGAGCAAATGTTGTTGGTTTGACATTGTTGCTTAGATTTAAATCTTTAAATCATTATATTTAATCAAAAATAATTCAAATATTTTCTTGCGCATCGGAGCAAAGTTCTCCATCTTAAACTTGACCTTCTATTTCATTATAATCTTTTTGTGATTTTTTATTTAGGCAAATATTTGTTCTTCTTTTAATAAAATTGGGACATCCCACTTAGCGCCTAATGATTCTGAGCAGGTTAGTTGACATCAACATGTAATAATGTATGAAATAATAGAATTTTTATATTAAAACCACATTCTATTAGTACAACACAAAACACATTCATAATTTTTTGTTTATCAACGTACATACATATGTACATATATTTCTTCTTTTTAGATTGAATATAAAAATGAAAATTTGTATGAAGGTTATACATCCCACACACTACCCAAATATTCTTAGACACCTTAAACTTATGATATTGAGTAAAATGACGAAAATATAAAAAAAAAACAAATAATTATAAATAAAAAATAATAAACTTTGTGTAGCCGTAAGAAAACCAGTTCATTCGTATTTTATTTATTTAAATTATTTATCAAATATTGTTCATTTAAATTTTTTCTCATTCTACAAATGAGAGACAGCGAGCAACAATATAATATAAACAATAAATCGTAATATAAACGAGTATCAAGTGCAGTGTCTTATCACAGCTCTTGAAGTTTTCATCATTCGCAAAGAAGTTGAATTAAAAGCTAAGAATTAAAAGCCGTAAGTCAAGCTACAACATTAAGAGCAAGGTAATTCCAGTAATAATTTAGGGAGAGAACTAAGATCAAAAGGCTAAATTTGTATTAATATTCTTATTCGTAAAAACGACCTTTGTTGCTATATATTAATTTCTATTGCCACAACAATTACAAAAATATAAATTATATATTTCTTTATTTGTGAGTTAATAGTAAGAAAGTTTTAAAGTTAACTAAGAATAAGGAACTGGACTACTGAACTTCGGCCTGAATAAATTAATATATAACAGAAATTGTTATTACGAACAAAAATTTTGATATAAATTTAGTCGCTAATAATTAGAGCTACTTTTCTACAGAAATATTATAAATCGACGCAATATCAAATCCAAATTAAAGTATTATTTTTGAATTCAGAGATTTTGTTAGCAAAGATATATATACTATATGTATATCAGTATGTATATTTATCTGAAAAATAAATATGTGATTGCAAATATGTTTGCGTTCATTATCTTAACTTATTTATCTCACTGACAGCTCTAATAAAAGTCTTTAAATAACTTTCTAATGTTGATTTGTTGCTCAGTTCTGTCGCAGACCGGTATTTATAAAGATTTTTAATCTATTTTCTTTGCTATTTGAATCCCTTTAAATTTTAAATCCCTTTAAAAATATAACTTAATAAAGACGAAAATTGTAATAAAATGTAAACAATATATCAGTTAAAGTTAAATTCAATTTATAACATATAATTTTTCGCCATGAATTTCTGTAAGATAAAAATAAAAGTAACAGATACAATAGGGGAGCATAATATCTTATATACATATATCTTATATACACCTGTATTAGCACTAACTTAGTAATATTGATGGGCCAAAGTCACGTGTACAATATAAGAATAACTTATAGTGAGATATTCATAAAATGTCTTATGTTGAGGTTTTTCCGAGTTAGTGCAACTGGGCACTTTTACTGTTTCTTAGCTGGGGGGTTTCTACAGAGCCCCTCCCTTCTCTTTGACTAATTTATGTATTCCTCACAAGCTTTGCTGATTATTCGACGACTGATCTAAGAGCTGCATACTGCTCCCTTACGGCTAGTGACTGCTCTGATATTAGACAGCGCTATGTAGGGCAGCCTGCCAGTTTTCGGGTATAAGTTCAGGGCTCCAAGAAACGCAGATTTTGAAATATTATATATCTTCATTTTGTGTTCTGTGCTGCTACCAATATGCTTATAATTTTTAGAGATTTCTTCATTTGAGAAGTTGAAGAATGTTTTATCAATGGAGATTCAAGAAATCCTACTACAAATTTACACATAGGTCATATTCCCACTGGTGTCACTAGGCACCAATAGGTCTATGTTTTGCTAACGGTCATTCAAGTTAATTTAATCTCAGCTATGGTTAAAAATAATAATAACAAACTTAATATAAATTTAATATAACATTTAACCTGTTATATACTAACAAAATGAACAAGCTATGCAATGCACATAAATAGTTTTCATATCTTATTGTTAAACACATACATCAACATATAATCTTATGAGATAACCACGAACAATTTTTTTATGAAGTATAAATAATTATTCTTTTATGGAAGGCTCAATGCCTTATTGATTAAACTTTCACAATAAATAAGGTGCGATTTTTTTGCAGTGCTTTGTTGATCAATCAACAGCGCTCTTGAGAATTCACAAATGTAGAAACATCCTTGTGTCTATAAATGTAAATAAATAGGTCATAGCAGCAAAAATAAATTTTAAAGATAAATTTTATTAAGATTATATTGATTAGCTTTGTAATGCGTAATATGTGCATATTGCAACCGAGTACTGTATAGTTACTACTCTTACATATACATATTATACACAATGAATTTATGACTTATTACAGTACTACAATATATTTTAGTCATATAATATAAAGACAATATATCACGTAATCACGCTTCTGATCTACTGTACTATTCCAACTTGTTCTTTTCTCAATAAGAATGTCTTATATTAAACAATTTATTTAAACAGCCATATTTTAAATGAACTAAATTAATATAATAAATTATAAATATATTTTTTATTTTAGGATATGAAATAAGGTCCATCAAGTGCAATGATAGCTTGTATATTCCGCATAATTTGAATAATTAAAAATGTAATACATATTTTCTTATTCGACTTCCCCAATCTGGCTATTAAGAATATTTTCAATTTTATCAAAATAGCTCAGTGCTTTCCGGGTACAATACAAAAGTACCTGTACCTTAAATTGCTCAGTAAACCAGTCTGTTTAAAATGTTCTATACGTTATCACAATTTGCCCAGTGTTTACAACTTTAGTTAGCCTATCTTCAATGAGTTGGGCTGGTATTAGCATATATTGAATCATTTCCACATAATTAATAACATTAAACAAAATATTTTTTTGCTAATAATTATAGTTGTTTTAAATTTAAATAACTCAATAATTAACTGCAATTTCATAGCATTAAATACTAATTTAATTTTATATTAGTAGCATTCTTATTGGTAAACATAATAAAATTTAAAATTTCACTATAAGATGTGTTACTTTTTAAAACCTTTTAAAATATAATATCTTGTTTTGAGAAATAACACTAGTTAATGTATTTAAAAATTTAAAAAAACTATAGATTAGAATACAAGAGTTTTAGTGATACTAAGCACTACATAAAAGGACCATAGTTGAACTTTTATACAGTTGTCTGAACCGAATGAACGACATTCAGCTTTTTAAATTAAGATTACATCGTTAAAGTGTTCTTAATAGCAGGGGCGGAGGTAGTAACTTAGACTCAGAATCAGAAGTCAAATCTAGATAGACAAAGATAGGAATATACTATCCTAGTACATACGAATTCTGTAACCTCAGAGGGACCAATATTGTTGAAGTGGTAACGCGAGCGAATGTGCTCTTTCAGGTGACATGTAACTTTGACTTTGCCTACTGAGTAGGAATGTCTCTTTGTAGACTAAAAATACGTAATATTTGATAAAAAAGGTTGTCTAGATAGGGTTTATCGGCTCAGTCCTATTTTCTGCTTCAGTTATATCAAGAACATTATTTTAATTATCATTTGTTTAGTTTGAGTCTTTTTAGAGTTTGTGCATCTGGGCATTTTTACTCTTTCATACATGGGGGGTTTTTGCAGAGTTCCACCCTTTATATATTCCTCAAAAACTTCGTGATTATTCGATGACTGATCTAAGATATGTGTACCGCCACGTGCGGCTAGAGATTATTCTGACATTATGTAGTGCTAAGTAGGGAAGCCTGTCTGTTTTTTTAAAACCTATTAATTTAATATTAAATTTCGAAAATCTATTTATCAAATATACAGTTAATGGTTACTTATATACTGCATTATATAGTATATAAAGCTGACATTATTTTTTTTTGAAAACTTTGTTATTTTAAATTATTTTATTTAAAATTCATCATCTATATAAATTAAAACTATGTTTCCATTTATATTATTGTATATTAATACTATTTTACTTAAATTGCTTAAATTACTTACAAGCGAATATGCAATAACTTTAATTATATGTATACATATATGTATGTTCTTTAAAAACAATATTGTTTTCATATTTTTTTTATATTGTCATATTAATATAGAAAAAAAACCAATTAAAACTGGCTTTTCAGTTATTGAGTTTGTCAGTCGATCATATACTACGCTTTAATTAATCATATATGTACATATGCACATATTATATGCGGCTACATCTGAAATTCAGAAATTCAAATTCAGATTCAGGCACATATCAGGTAAGCTAATAATGACGACATATGAATATATATGAATATATATTCAACGATATAGTGATATAGTGTGTATTCCAATGGATTTACATACTCGTCAAATACTTTGAGGTGGTGCGGTTTATTGCTAGGTCAGGCTCTGGACGCCTGTTAGTTTAATTTTTAAAACAACATTTATCACTTAATGAACAAAAAATCAACAAAATAAACACGAAAAGAAAAAGAATAAAATTTGCACAATTGAAAAAAAGCTAACAAAAATAAACTAAGTGCAGTTCAAGATACTTTTCGCGTTTTTTTTCTTCTAATTTGAAATTTTTGCTGTGTACTTACAGTTACCCTTTAGCTTTTGTTGTGCCAAAATTTGATTTTTAATCGGCTATAAATACGGCGAAAATATCTTTGATGCAGTAGCTCGTCAATGGAGTAGAGTATCTTCTGAATGTAGTTTTGCGATTTATTGAACTTGTTTACATTGAACTTGAAAATTTTTAATATATTTGAAGATTATACTATACATATATTGAAATATATGAGTAATTTATTATATCACTTATAAGCTCTGCTTAATCTGGATTTTTTAAATATATATATTAATATATTTATTTTTTTATGTACATATGTACATAAACTTCGCTTTAACAAACTTTTTATTATTATTATAAAGTCTCACACCACTAATTTGTGTGGTCTTTAAGCTCACCGCGAAGGTCACAAAACGTATTTTTTCTGCTGTTCTGCGATGAGGACCGATTTGTTTCGTCTGCGTATTTCAACTAAAAGCGCCAGACTGTAAGTTTTCGCTCGCTATTGTATCTGCTGCCTCTTAGATGTTTAAAAAGTTTCTACGTTTTGTTATGGGCTTTAGCTACTCGTGTGAGCGAGCGTGTAGCGCAGCGCAATACTGGTGAGCTGTCAACAAAAGTAGCAAAGAGAATGTTTATTGTAACGACATATAGTGTGGTGTGTATGACTTGAGATCATTGAGATCACCGCTTAGTATTCTCGACTGATGTTACCCATATATACCCACATATATCAGCAACGAATTTCCTAAAAGCTTTAGATACAGTATTAAACTCTGTAAAAGAAGCATGTAAAATCGTTTTTATGGTTTCTGGTATTATAATCAGTAAGAAACGAGTTTTTCCTAAAAAAAAGGTATTCTTTGAATAAAAAAAAACAATATTTCTATTTTCAAGTAGTTCGCTTGCATTGCGTATAAGTAATGAAATTATTTATATAAAATTGATTTGTTATGTATGTAACTTTTGGTGGAAAATTAAAGAGAAAATTACTTAATAAATATTTAAAAATCTTTAATTATTTACTATAGAAAAATTATCTTTGTAATAAATATAATTTAAAAATATTCAAATAAAAAATGAAACTGATTAAACAAGTTTTAAAGTATTGCTTAATATCAGCACATTATTTATTAAAAGCTTTAAACCATTTCAGTAGAACACATCAACATAGTTTAGTATAGTTTGAACTCTCTTGAGTAGATATTGTTTGTCAGGCAACTTTTGTCCATTCAAAAGTAGTAACCGGCAAGTTCTTAAAAATTATAAACAAATTCAGTTTTAGAGAAATTGTCTGTCTCAGAGGGGTCTTCATTTAACAGGGGTGTCCGGTCGGTGAATTTTCGCTTTAAGTAACGTAATTCTGATTTATCTGGCACACCGGATAACTGATATCATTAAATGTAAATATTCTGACCAACATATTTTACTACACTATTTGCCAAGTAAGCTACTTATGCAGTGATCAAGATTTGAAGTTGTAACCTTTTTACATTCATTCCACTAACAATAACTACACACGCTATAAAGCACCAGTTGCGGTATACAATTTTTGCCCACAAAAAGTCATTGATAACTTTAATACATTTAATTCCTAATTTAAAACCTAATATTTAGAAAACTGAACTATATTGATATAAAGCGTAAACGAAAAAGTTGCTTAAATAGCTGTAATATTAATAAATATAAAAATATATAAAATATAAAAATAAATGAAAAATTTTTGTTTTTGCCTTTCTTTGCTATTCGAATCGGTCTAACTTTTAAATAGTTTCTTTCGTCATAAAAAGACACGCCATTATCGGCAAGAAAAAAATTTACCTTATAAAAAATATATTTTTTGAGATTCTAGGAAAAGATAATAGCATTTTATTAACGGTAACTGTGTGATATCAAAATTTAATTCAAGACTAATGTCCACCAAATTAATGGTATTTATTCATAAATGCGAAGTTTTTCAGGAAACATTGTTCGTCACGTAAGAGTGTAATTGGTGATTGTCATTGGTGAAGACAAAGGACCTACTTAATTATATAAATTCGGCGTAATGGATTTAGTCTCTACTTTTCTATACTAGGGTTCTTGAGTATCGAATACTCATTTTTATTGTATTTTTCTAAGAAGTTGAAGTTCTTATCTAAACTCAAAGAACACATTCCGAATCCGACACTCCTTTTGTTCTTCGTATAGTTACATAAAGCGAGACACCATTAATCTCTTATCTTCAGTATTTAAACATTTAATTACTCATTATATTACCTATACGAAATTTCTGTTTTTGTTCAGGATTTGCATGCAATTTCAGATGTATTTTAAGTTGTTATTGTTGACTAAAATTGGAATAGGTTTTTAATGTAAAATCTTTTTCAGTAAAGCAATAAGAAAATCACAATTGCTGTGAAACATGATTCCGTGATTGTGTTGTGGCATCTTTCATTTTTCCATCTTTGATAATTTGTGGGACAAGATCTTAATTTGGTATTAACTAAGCTCATTCTATTCGATGCCACGCTTTAAGTATGGAAACACAAGCCTTTTGAGGCGCATTTAAATCCGCTTGCGCAGTTGTGAACTGTTTTGCCCATTCGTTAGTTACTCTCCATATAGTATCTTGTTTGGTTTTTTGTTTGTTTTATTTTATGAGTACAATTGTTTATTTATCTTATTAAATGGGTTTCAATAGATTGAGTGTGTTGCAAGCAACTTTATAACAACAATATGACTAGAAAAGCAACAACTACAATATTTACAAATGTATCTTACTTGGAAATCTGCCTAAGCAACCACTTCAAGATGCTGCATTACAAGTTTAAGTTTTTTTAAACAACGGCATTGCTTTTCTTCTTAAATAATAACTGAAATATGAAAACGTAAGACTTATTTGCAATCCTTAACATTTGTTGTGATACTATGGTAGTCTAATACGTCATTCTATATATTTTTTTTATTTTATTTTAAATGGAAACGAAATATCGATAACCAAGCTTAACAGTTTGCTTAACTTATTGTAGATGACAATGCTATTCTATGTAGTTATTAAAAATTACATTTTAAATTAAACTAAACGAGACACAGAAATTTAAATTACAGAACTGTAAAGAAAAATTAAAAAAGTTTAAATCAAAAGGGAGGCGTACTCAATAGCATCACATTAAAAAAAGAATTGTGAAAAAATCGAATATCGACTTTCACCATCTTAGTATAACTTTGATAATACACTTTTTAAATAATCATCGTACAACAACTAATAATCAAAATCCTGACTACAAATTTGTTAATTAGAGTCTACACATTATCCAGGTCGGATTTTGATACGGATAGGATTTTGTAATGCGGTAGCTTTATCAGTACTCATTTCGGTCCTGAACAGAAATTAATAAATATAAAAATCTTTACCAAAAGTATACAATACAAGAACGAAGTAATTGTGGGTAGACAATTCGACAACAGTGTTTCGGTGGAGGACAATTACAAGAGACTATTTAAACAATTTAACTTGTAAATATAGTGAAAATAACTCAACCAGGCACTGAAAGGAGTAGATATAAATTATACTGCCTGATATAATATATACCTCTGATATATATAACGGAAAGAAATTCATGGAATAGTTCGTCATGAACATTTGATACATTTGCGTAACAATACCCAATATATCGTTCAGTGCGTGTATATTAGTGACTGGATAGTATTATAGTATTGAAAGAAATTAACAAAAAATGAGATTGCCCTACCCCTATTCGGCTATACGGAGGAAAATATTTTTTTTTTAAAAAAACCTTTAAAATGTTTTGATGGAATGGGCGCAGATATTAAAACACACGAAATGATGCTAGAGTCATAGGCGTGTTGATGGAAATGCGGAAAGCTAGAAACGAAGAAAATTTTCAAACATGTTTAATGTTTATGTTCAGCTTTGTCGTAAATATGTTTAAAATGATTGAAAGTTTAACACTCCTTACATTCACAAGAAACGTTAAAAATTTTTATGATCTTCTACAAATACACGGAGAAGTTCAGCTCTATTTGATATGGTTAACCTAATATTAAAACAGTTGACTTTTCCTTTTATAGTAGATAAAAGTGATCAAATTCTTTAAAGAACACTTTTAGCAATTTTAAAAATGCCTTCTCAGTTTTTATTCTACCACGCTTAATGTTGTCTTACTTTTAACCCATTGATTTCTGGATTAGCGCAAAGTGCTAAAGTTTAACGTAGGCCAAACTGCAGCTCTACCCCCCATGACGTCACCCAGTTTGTCTCTTGTCCCTCTATTCACCAAACGTTAATCCAATTGATCTTTGGACTCACCCTCTTGAATTGACTAGGTTTCTCCATTTGGACACTGGTTAATTTCAATTGTACTCCCACACATTCTTCATCCTCCCTTTATTTCTACGCCCTTACTCCAACCACCACCCATCCAAATCCCAATCCATGTAGTCATCTTGTAAACCATACATGTTATCTGCTTTCAGCTCTCAGCAGGTTACAACAACAACAACGTAGGTTTGAGCTGAAGTTAAATTATTTACTAAAGTAGATTCTTGGTGCTTGTAAATTTCATAATACAATAGTTACAAACCTCTTTAATAAAATTATTTTTAAATTTTTTACATTTATTCTTATATATAATAATGCCCATATCGTGATGTGGCAAACATATTGCAAAAAACCTTTCTACCAATAGGCGATATATGCTTTGTTTTTTTTTCATAGTTTTACAATATATTATATTATATTAGTTAAGAAAATTGCTATCATAATACATACAACATACATGTAAAAATATATAGTCATGAATATTTTTCAGTTCTGTTTATTTTTTATAATTAATTTATTAAAATTTAATATCGCCTTATTTTCTAAGTATACGAATAACTAATTGCTAATTAATTCTTATATATTCTCTCTCGTTTGTATTGATTTTTAATCATATATTAAATCTGTATGTTTGTAATGTTAGTGTATTTATTATAATTATAAGTGCTAAGTTTTTACATATGTTATGTATACAGTTGTTAATATTATTTATTTCGATTTAATTGATTTTTAATATTAAAATTTAGTCAGGTAAAAATTGTAATTCCTAATGAAAGTGTAACACGATTCTTTAAAATATAAATTACATTCTCTATATATATATCAGCTTTGAAAATTTTTAATATATATTATATTTTATATTATAATCTTTATTGCGCTATATTGTAAATAATTGTAAAATAAAACGGATTTTCTAAATAATTTCAGTGCACTTTCATAGAAATTTTTAAACTGGTCAAGGTCAACATTTTAATAAAATTATTAAAATTTAGATGCGCTGAACGTTGTTATATATCGAACACATTAGTTAAAGCTAAGGCGTTTACGTTTGCGTTTATTTTATCTTATTGGCCGAGCCGCCTGCTGAAGAGGTTGCAGCATCCTCTTTCTTTTTTTGTTTTTCACGCATTACGTCTGCATCTCTAATTAATAAATTTAAAAGACAGATATAATATAGATTTCTTTAGTTTTGTATGTAATGATACTCACCGTTGTTTACGCTGCTCAACTGTTAAATTATCAGTGCGTTTACCTTTGTTTTGCTCAGCTTGTTTCTTTTGGTTCTTAGCGCGAGCCAGATCTCTCTGATTTCCACCTATGAGTAAGAGAAAAATAATTATTATATATGTTTTCTTCACAGTTAAATTTATGATAATCTAAGCAATACAAAATAAAAAACTTAAGATTGAAAACTCAATCTCAATCAGATAGTATTCTAAGTTTTTATAATATTCATATTAATAAGGTGTGGATCGCCGGATAACAACGAAAGAACTAAAAAAAGCTAATTGATAGCTGCAGAATATCATATTATTATATTTTATATACAATTTTAAACTGTTTTAATGACGGATTTAAAGTAGTCATTGTACATGAAATGCCATCGATGTGAATCTTTATTCGATGGACTTGTAAAACAATTATTTTATATCAATTTTAGTAGTGAAATCATATACGGTACCAAGTTTTCATTGACCTAAAACACATTTAGGCAAATATTTTTAATAAATAATATTGAATTTATTTTCAGTATTTTAAAAACTATTGCAATTTACATTGAAAGTTAACTAAGATAATCCACATATTGTATATTATTTGTCTGCTATAAATTACAAACAACAATAATTATTTTCAGTATTTTAAAAAAAAATTGCACTTTACATTAAAAGTTAACTAAGATAATCCACATATTGTATATTATTTGTCTGTTATAAATTACAAACAACAGGAAATGATTTTATACGTACAAGACTGAACTATATTTAGTAATTCCGTAATAATAATGTTAAAGAAAAATTATTAATTATATATCGAAAATATATTATTGCTGCTTAATAAAAGGTAAGATAGCGTAATATTTTAACATTTAATCATACGACATAATGTAAAGTTAATATTACATTACAGCAATTCTTAATAACATTAATGATAATGTTATATATCAACAATGTAGACATTAAACGCAACTAAATTACTCGATCTCTGTCTGGCAAAAATCTAAAAATAGTCAACTGCCAAAAAATAGTCAAAAAAAAAATACTTTTAACTTCGAGATCTTCGAGTGATAACGTGCAGTAGCGGTGTTATGAGTGGGCGCGGTGATGTGATGACCCCGAGTGATAGAAATGAAAGGGCGCCATACCTAAGTCAAAAAACAATTACCATTCATGATGCTTTACTTTGGCCATTGAATCAAGAATGGCCTTGTGAAGCCACCACTTTAGCTCAACAGTTAAAAAATTTCAACTTATCGTGTCGATGATGGTTTGGTTCGATATATTTTTTTTAATTAATATTTTTAGTAAATTTCTACAGACAACGGATATGTATCTCAGTAAATCCAAAGAATTCTTGAAAAAATGCTGCATAGACGTTTTAACAGCGAAAGAAATACCGTGAAAGCGTGAAAATTAACTGTTTTAAATACGAAAAGACTTTGAGGTGGACTTTTACCACCTTCAAAAAAGAAATTTGAAGCTAAATTTTTTATTTCCATTTTTAACACTACACTAAGTGCATTCCTTAAAAGATTTCACCAGTTGACTGAGTACTTAGTTTTTTTTTTGTACAACATAAGATATGATTTCAGAAAATTGAGAACTTCTTGAATTTCTGTGGTAATGCCCTCTTAATATTGGTCTTAGGGTCGTTATTGGATATAGATGGTAAGATGCTGTATGGTGAACTAATAAATTTGAAATCAATTTTGCGTGATGACAATGATGCTTCTCCTTTTATATTTTAAATCCCATAACAATCATAATATGCAAAAAATATGCCTAAATGTATGGATAGCACTACTAATATAACTGACAATACCTGTAACAGTTGCTAGTAGAAAAAGGAGTTCTGCAACGCGTAAGCTCATAGAAACCTAGCTGCAATCGAGAATGTTTCAACCCAGACTAATAACCTTGGTAACTTTCAATCAAAAACTAAATTTCAGAAAACATTCATTAATTAGACTTCATGAATAAGACTTAAAAGTAAAAAATTTTTAATATTTATTATGATTAAATATTTGCAATTATTAAAAAATTAAATCAATATACATATTTTTATATATATTTATTTTTATTATTATATTCATTGCAGTTTTTGTTGTATATGTATATTGTAGTTTTTGATATTCTTTACCATTTCTATTTTTCTTACATGGGGCTCGATGGTAGATAGTGGGTGTATAGTAATTTCGCCCAGGACGCTAGTTTCATTAAAACCGGCACTGGTAACATGTGCACAAATCAGAGATAATGTAAAAATAATAAGATTTCAATTTCAAAAACTGTGTGCTTTTGTTTGGCAAATAAAATCATACATACATAATTTGGCTTCAATAGATAGTTAAATAATTATATTAGTTAAAATAATAATACTATTCTTGCATTTATTAAGCAGATAAGTAAAAAATTATGATTTTTATATTCACTTAGCATTAAGTTTTTAGTAAACAGACTTTAATCATGAGTATTAAACATACTTATTAGCATTTTGATTAAATTACTTAAAAGGTCACATGAACGCCTAAATTAACAAAGAAAATGTATGATTAACTCAGTATTAAGAAAAAATATATAAAATTTATATTTGAGGCTTAAAAATATGTACTTTAACATACATACGTACTTAAATATAGTAGCGTAATTTCTTTAAACCTTAAGGACAATAATAAAACAGACAAATACAAAAAGTAAATTAGTGTAAGTATATCACTTTCAATAAGAGGGAACAATCAAACATAAATATAAAAATATAATTATCTTTTTAAAAGAATAATTTTCTTATATATCACTTTTATTTAACAACCGAATGAAACAAATCAGTATTAAATAATCGTCATCGATGTCATTGACATTCACATTTTATTAAAAATATTACTTACGTGTCATTGTTTTACCAATATGGTTTTTATATTATTCTTAACTTTTAGAACTGCTGGACCTTTTTTGCGTGCAAAACGCGTAACCAATAATTTTTACGTCGCCTATTCTCGAGTTTTCTTTTCACTGTCAACCTCAATATTGACTTTTCTTTGTATTCATGACAGTTCGGAACACAGCTCGATAATAAAAATTTGTTTCATTTCAAGCGTTTCACTTTTGTTCCGATGACATAAATTTTGAAATTATTACAGTGACTTTCAAATATTAGACGAAAATGCCTTATTCTAACATGTTCCCTAAACAATTCTTATGAACAGTACTTTTATAAACATTTTGTTATAACTATAACTATTAAACGAAATAATCTAATATATGTATACATATATGTTTATTTATATGATTATAAATTACATGAAATTGTGATATACATATGTATGTTTATATCAAAATATATAAAAATTTTCATATAACATAAATATCTATATAATAACACTACGTATAGCATTAGATATATATATTGCTTTCGTTAATGTTTTATTACTAAATATAAAGATTAGTGTTCTTGTATATTTTTTTTCTTTCTGAAGAAAATGAAACGCATGTAAAGTCGGCAGTCATATGACGAATATGACGAAGGGTCACGGTAATTTTGTTTTTTTTTTTTTGATTATGACCAAAAAGCGTGTTATACAGAGAATTATATTACAATGCATAATTTTCTACCTTTACTATTTTTTTAATTTTTTTATGCCTAAACTTAAAAGATAATTATTTTTGTATATCCACACAAAACCATGGCCCATACCACACTCGAGTAAAATGAAGATTAAAATTAGTTATAACAGTTTTCGCACTGTTTACTATATTATAGGTAGATTGAAATTTTACTCATGCTTTGATGCTGTGAAGAAACTAACACATGCATAATATTTAAATATACATTGAAACCAAAAACGTTTTCACATTTGACGTGACTATGACTTTCTATTCGCGCAATGAAAATTGATGTGTTTCTTTAGATTGAGTTATGTATGTACATACATATTATATTATTATTAGTATTATTTCCATATTCTGTTAGGAGCTTAAGGAGTCTACAAAAGTTTTCCACTGGTTTCTATTCTGTGCTATTGCTCTCAAGTCGTTAAATAATTTGCCTGCCTCCTGTTGAACTGTCATTCTCCATTGCTGGTCTGATTCTGAGCCTAGTTTCCTGAGGGTTTCAAGTAAGTGCAGCATGCGCGATATCTTCATAAGGTTTACGCAGTGTTTGTCCAATCCAACCATACTTCTTTCTTCTTATCTCGTTGTTTACGCTTGTTTGGTGCGTTATTCCCCACAACTCTTCATTTGCTCTTCATTATCAAGCCAGGTTTCCGATCCATATAGGCATTTGACGCATGCGTTAAAAATTTTTACCTTAATGTTCGTACGTATATTGTGTGCCCGCCTATGTTGCGTAACCTAGCAAATGATACTCGCGCTTTTTGAATGCGGCTGTTGATGTCCTTTTTCGCACCCCCATCCACCGATAGAATACTCCCTAAGTAAGTAAAGCTCTCGGTGCCTACGATGTGATGCCCATGCGCATTGCTTTAGTTTTACTGATGATTATCTTCAAGCCAACCTTCGATGATTCGTCTTGTGATTCATTAATTTTCATATTATTCTTTACATATACCATATGTATATTATTTTTTTTGTCAGGAAACATAGTTTAGCCATATATTACTAAAATTTTTAAAAACCAAGTTTAAAAAACAAATTTCTTCTCGTTTCTTTCCACTGTTTATTAAATTTTAAAGTTTAAACACATGATAAACATATAATACTATAAATTAAGATTGATGAGTAAAAGCAAAAGTTCGTCGTAATGTCTAAAAAATCATCAGGTCATAACTAAATCAATTACAAATAATCATGAAACTACCTGTCAAAATTATTTCATAGACATTTAAAAATTTGTTATAACCTCTTCTATTAACGTCTAAAATATATAATTAACATTAGTTTGTAACCCAACGTCTACAGTTACATGACTTTTACAGGCTTTTTATCTTAAATACAGCCATAAAGTAATTTGTTCTCCGAAATCATTTAAACCCTGATCAATGTAAACAATAATGTATACACATGTGTATATTGAAAAAGTACATTAAATGCAAAATAAAATACTTATACAAAAATCGGTACCACATGACATGTCAAAAAATTTAGAACTACAAAGACATACATTTGAAACAAATGATTACCTTAACAAGTAATAGATTAAAAAGAATAAATATTTTTTTTTAATAAAAAAGCTTGTAAATAAAAGTACTATTTGGACAAGACTGCCAGTCACATTCTCTGCCCAGCCTTGATCTGAGCCAGGAGGAGGTCACTCGGTTGAAAACTACACTCCCCTTCTAACATTAGGAGGCCCTCAACGTCTGATATTCTGGCTTTCATTTGGAAAGCAGAATATTGTTTAGTTTTCAAAGTTTGGAAATACGATCTTAATCTGACATCGTTAAGCGTCTAACAAAAAGCGCAATAAATACCTTTACTCTGCGCGATTTTTGGCTAAATACGACAAATATGATATACTTAATACTTTAAAACATCAAGATAGAAGTATCTTTTAACGGTTCGGTTTAATGAACCGAACTCTGTGCAATTTTTTATCGTTACTCAACTTGTATACAACAAACTATGCAAATTTTTCGATAGGTTTAGTGTTTACTCAAATTACAATAAATTAATATTTTGGAGATGCTCTGTTTTAGTTCCATGAATTTTCATTAAGATTTTGCTTATCACGATCTATTTTCATCGTATCTACATTTATTTTTTTGAAATTACATAATCTTGTTCAGCATTTACGTTCCAACAACTGACCGACGCATGTTATTGACCTAACTATAAATATGATTTTATAAAAAGATCTCTGAACTTTATAACGTACCTTGGACAGTGTTTTTCTCTTCAACCTAGTATTCAGTTTTTTAATATATTTAAACAGCATTCAATAAATTTGTGTTGAATTGAATTACACTACCTTAAATGAAATAAATTTTAATTTTATGTATATACGAGACATAAAGTAATAATATGACCAACGCCTTTAACAATAATAACGATGATGGTCCGGAGATCAGATGGAACATTACCATTGCCAATAGGTCCTTCTATAGACTCAGCAGGCATTTGGGTTGCAGAAATCACTCTTTATCGACAAAATTTTTAGTCTATAACTCACCTATCTTACGTTCTATGCGTACGTCTACCTCTAGATGTAAAGGTAGTTATCGATCACTACGATTTGGTGGTAACTATCATATTAAATGAATCATGATCAAGTTAACGATTTTGCTTAGTCAAGTCAAAAAGTGTCTGTAAAAATTGTATTGTAAATTTTTGGACACCCGTGCGGTGTTTTAGGTGTGAATATGAAAACCAATAATACAGGTGCTTTTGTTTTTGTTATTTTTCAACGTAATTAAAAAATTAAGAGTACATGTTTTTATTCTGAATCAACCAGGCGTGGCGTTGGCAAATAATACACTCAGAACAATTCGTTTCTATTAATTTCAAATGTGAAAACATCATTTAAGCAATTATCACTTTTTGTCAACAAATTTGAACAAAATTTTCATTTTTATCAATTTTTAGTTTATAATTTAATTACGAATAGTTTTCTATAGTTTCGTTATTATATAAATTGGATTTAAATTGTTTAAATTGTTTAAACAGGAAACAGGTCAATGAAAATATACTAAAATTTCATATTAAAAAAATGCACTTGAAAATTTATTTAAAAAAAATACTTTAATTAATGTTGTTGACATATTTACTATTAACCTCGTTAATACAGTTTTTAAAAATAATTCTATCACTCTCTTTTAGATTTCCTTTTCTCTTTAGGTCACAAAACTCAGATTGTTTAAAAAGATTGTTCACCATTTCGAATGACAGATCGCAAATATTGCATTTCATGTGCGAGTACTTTTGAGTTTTAAACATATCATCACGACAGTCTATTATTAATCTCAACGGTCAGGGCCAAGAAAGCTGAGACACCTATCCTCAGATATACACTAGCATTCGGATAGCGTACCTTTTAAGACACTGTTCTGCTTTAAACAGCTATTCCCACTCTTAAGTCTATCAACAATCAATATCGATCCATCTGATTTAATATTAGCACTGTTTACTTTTAAATAAACTGAATAACTTTAACACTACTGACCATGTAATTGTAACTATTATATTGTATATATCATTATTATATTATAAAAAACAAATTTTTGTATAATTTATTTACATTTATTTTATTATATTATATTTCAATATGGTTAATTAAAAAAATTTTTTGGGAGAAAAATCAATTTCTGAGGACGTTTCATTCGGTTAAAGACTTATAATTGGCGCCTTGTATTAAAGATAAAACGTACTACTATATTTAAAAAACAAGGTAAAATTATTAATTTAAAATATACAGGCTTTTCGACTCTGGCAACTAGGTTGGTATACCGTCACTGATATCTAGGTCAAAATTCATGTCATTATCTGTATTTGTCCAATAGTTACGCACATGTGTTACATACAGCAATGCCTTAAATACTGTCATAAAATAATTACAGATAGCACAAAACCTGGCTATAAGAAGACTATTTAAGATTCCATGGTATATTAGAACTACAGACATGCACAGAGATCTAAGGATCGACGCAGTGAAAAAAATATCGGGAACAGAGCCCTAAAATTATTCACAAAAGTTAATACGCTGCCCAATCCCGCTCTAACAAACCTCAAGTCAGCCACAAAAGAGTAAAAGTGTGCAGCACACTAACTCAAGAAATCACAACAACATATATATGTAATGGTTTGTTAACATTGACAGATAATGTTATTTTATTTGGATCAGTTCACAATGTTCTGAAAGATGTTTTGAAACTAAAGTGTAAAATCTCTTATGGTGCCCAGGACAATTATTTTTGGAAAAGATTGCGCTAAATTCATTCTGCTAAATAATGCCTTTTGACTATCAGTATATGATGAAATACATCACCAATGCATAACTGATGATGAAAGTTCGATCTATACATACGACCCAGAAACAAGCGACTAATCAAACAAAAACAAAATCGAAGTCATGTTAACAGTTTTATTCAATAATGGCATGGTAAAGAGAGTAAAAGTGCTCAAGTATACTGACTCAACTAGCCTCAACATAATAATACATATATGTTAGGTATATAATATGTTACTCCAATTTAGTTGGAACTAATGCGAGGTGTTAGGTACTTAGTACAATACACATTTTATTTCTTGTATCCATAACTTCAGGTATGTTTTGAACATTTTCAAAGTAAAAAGAATTTCTCTTGTTTAAATTATTTATTTTACATCACAAAGTAAAGTCGTTGGATAAACTAATAAACATTTCCAAATGAAAACATACCTTAAAAAAATATATATAAAAACCCTTGTCTTGTCTTTTCTTTTCCTTATCTCTTAGGTGTGATTAATTATTTCTTTTTGTTATTTAAAACAGATTGCCAATCGCATATTTCCTGGAATTTCATAGGCATACGATGATCGTCTTTTGCAACTAGTAAAGTGGACGATTTTTTTGGTACGACCTTCAAAGCACCTTGGAATCGAGCTACAACTTCACTCATTGAAGTAAATAAATATTCTATGTAGCTATCTATGGTCTGCTGGTATACTTCATATAACTTAGGCAACGTGAGTAAAATTATCAACACCAAACTTAATAAACTAGTCAAATTGAAGATCATTCCAAGTTTAGCCAATCCAAACATTCCTAAAGCGAATTTTATTGTTTGTTTTAAGTCATCGAAGAAAAATAAACGGTGCAATTCCGCAATATAATCATTGATAACTGGAACGGTGGCTTGAATGTATTCCTCGGCCCAATCAAGTGATATGTATAAGTCCAGGTCCAATAGCTTACAAAATGGTTGATCATCTAGGTCCTGTTTAAATATTTGAAGCCCTGCAGAGTAGATCTTTATACCCAATATTAAAGCCAGAAAAAGCAGAGCAGCGTACGCCAAAACGCTGATAAGAGACAGGCAAGCAAATATTGACAAAAGAGTAATTCCAATACAAAATATGAAGCTAGTAGCTTTTATATTGTGCCAATAGATAATTGCTTCAACTATTGGATGTAAAATTTCGGGTTTGAACCAAGCTTTCACATTGAGGATGGAATAAAGGAATGATAATCTAATATTTTCATTGTCTCCGAATGTTGCGTATGGAGAAATTGTATACTTATCTGTTGTGGCTTCCATTTCGTTTTTAAACTTCCTGTATATTAAATTTTTTTTAAAAAATCTTAAGTGATGATAAAATATTTTATTTTTTTACAATATCAATTTAAGTTGATAATGAAAGATTCTTTAAACAGAATATTCATGACTAACTACGTTTTGTTAGTAATCTACTATCTATACAATATTAAAACTTTCACATAATCTTGAGAGCAACTAATTTATGAGGACTTTGATATTTGAAAAGAGGTGCGGAAGTTCATACCTTCTGGATGAATATGATATACAGTCAAACCTCTCTAAAGCGAACCTCCCTATAACGAATTCCTCTCTATAACGAAGTTTTGTTGAAGACACAGCGATTGTCATATATTTGAACTTCTCTATAGCGAATTTCTCTATAACGAACCGCTCTATAGCGAATTCCTTTCTATAATGAAGTTTTTTCAGGTACGCAAACAAGTTTTTGCATACAAGAAAACCTCTATAACGAATTTATTCAAATACAAGTTAAACACTCAACTAAAACGTTGTAACTTATGAGAAACTTCTTTGTATGCAAGCTATTAACTTGTTAGAAGAGCTGGAAGAGTTCCTTGATAAGGAAAAAGTAAAAATGTCTAAACAAACTAAAATCATAGGTTTACCAATATACAATTAATTTTTTTAATATTATGTATATACAGATGAATAAACATGAATTAAATATATTTTTAGAATAAAAATGTACATATTTCTCAATCAAATGCAAAAAAAAAATTAAAACAAAAAAATTTTGTTTAACCTCTCTATAACGAAGTTTTTTGTAGACACCAACGACTTCGTTATAGAAAGGTTTGACTGTATTTTATATAGTAATATATGCAATGATATTTTTATTATTCTTTAATACATACTTCTTTCAGGAGTTATCAATTATAACAGTAAACTGTTCATAACTACTCAATTAATAATAGTAATAAAAAATCAAAGGTTTCAGTAATCAAAGGTTATCCGTTTTTGATCTGTAGTTTGGTGGAAGTGCGGTTGTCTAAAAAAGTTGTTATTATTATGTAGCCTACAGAATTGCTATTATAAAGACCGTTTTCTACATCAGTTAGAAGTTGACAAGGTTATTCTAATGTGAACTCAATCGGCATAACTTCCATTAGCATACGAAATATCAAGAGAGGTTATGTGTGACGTATTCTGATCACCCAGAATGCATTAAATAAACTTAGGTATACTAAAAAAAGCCCATTTTGTTAGAAACGGGATAAATATGGAGCATTTCAAAAAAGATACAAATATTAGAAACTAAATCATGTATGAAGTGAATAACAAGGGTGAAGAGAGTAAAAAACTTCAGAGGAGGTCAACTTTGACATTTTAGCAATGTACAATTTATTATTATTCTTCTTTGCTTGTTGAAACGCGAGTTAGTGCTCTGTCTTTGATAGACTTTTGCACACTTTCAACTTTCGCGTCTTGACGTATAACTTCATTTCTTATATAGCTGAAGCTTTTAGCATACGACTCAGTATTATCTTAAAAAACTTCGAAATTTTCTAATGAGGGATGGAGCAGCATTGCTATAAGTAACACAGCCATAAAATAGTTCACAACGAAAGATTTGTCAAGCACATTTTATTGATTCGATCCAGACCAGGTGATTTTCTTCGTTTTTTTTAAATTACTAATTAAAATGCTGATTTTTTCCGCATTTAGTTCCTTAGGAACTAAAATATAGTTTTTCCAATTAAATTTGTTAATCTATTAGCTTCCATTTTTTAGCTTCATCAATTCGTTAAATAATTCCATCTCCTAATAATAGCTTTAATGTTTCCAGGAAGATCATAATATTGATTTAGACAGGATCTAAATAAAAAATTTAATTTAAACTTCAATGGGATGTTCATTAAATTGGCACCAATTAGAACCTACACTCATAGGTACAGTTTATAGGTTTATACAGTTTATAAAGGTTTATATAAACCTTTTTCAATCGCAAAAAAAACTGAAGAAGTTTAAAATCAAAATTCTTAGAAATACCAATCTCCAATACATGACTTAAGCCATTATTTCCATAATGAATAGGTTCTTTAGGAATATGCAATTGAATGTTACTATCGATCAAAAAAGTCCAATTTTAAGCCAGCATGACTGGAACATTGTTTTTTGAATTCATGTTCTAAAACGAAACAAAAATCGTAGAGGAAAACTAATATTTTCTGTAAATACCAACTTTAACTTGTTTTTTGAAATTAATATGGAAATTGAATTAAAAACTTCATTAAATATATCAATAATTGCAGAAACAATTAATAAAAAGCTTCGTGTAATTACAGGGCAAATTATACTTCTCTAATGCATTTTACTTTAATACGCGTAATGCATTTTCTATAATTTAAGCAAATTTTTGTAAAAAAAAAAACATTTATAAAAAATTAAGATAATTACAATAATTTTTGAATGGCATTGCCGTCGTCATATATGTGCGGATTCCCAATGCTGCCATTATGGTTATTAGTTAGAACAACAACAATTTATACTTTTATTAGAGCGCTTAACTCCACTTAACTATAACAGGCTATAGTCACAAATGGAGTCGCACAAGCGCTTGCGGAGAAGTTTCACACCGAAATTCACGTGGACGCCTCACAGTGCAGTGGGTTGCATTCAATTGTGTCAACTATTCAATTCAACTATTGGTATTACAAAGGGTTGGAGGTGTAGCGATATTACTTGGAAAATCCCTCATGTGTAATATTAAATGTCCGAGTTTTTGTGGTAATTTGGGTTATTAATTTTCATGCAAAATTGCTCTCTGAATGATTTGTTTGAATTTTTATGCATTAATGATTTGTGGCATTTGTTTGCTCATTTTGTGTACGGAAATTTATATAAAATCAAAATTTTTCAAATAAATTGAATTAGTTCAAAACTTTACGCCGGAACAGCGATTGTGAGTCTAAGCAGCACGCGAAGCTTTAACGGAAAAATCATAAATTTTGAAAATGTATTTGAATACGAAGATCTACTTTTTTTATTTTATTGTGTTTTTATCAAATTGTTTTGAGATACATTCACTAGCAAAACTAGATTACACCAGAGAAAGGCACTTCACGTTTAGTTCAAATACTGGTCCCACAAATGGAACAGGTGGAAATTTACCTCCTCAACAGTCGCAGGGTAAGTAAATAAGAGTTCCACATATTACTCTTACCTGAATTTGTAGAAAAGAAAACAGACCACTGTTTCATAGTAAAATTTTTGTGCTAACTGATTTCAGCCGAACAGTAGACATTAAGGCAAAGAGTTTCTTTAATATCAAATAGTGTTAAAAGTACGCAAATCAATATTCTCCCCCTACCTTAGATATAAGCCGAGCACTAAGAAAAAATGTGACTAGAAGTCTCATCCGACTATAGTTAGAGGCGACATTCTGTCATGTCAGATAGAGCTATGCTAAAAAGACCGTAAAGGTGATTGGGAATACCAGTCAGTTAGCTTGCTTGTAATTTCGGCTTTATCACATTGTCGTCTTTCCGTGGTTATAAATACGAATTAGTGACAAAAGTTTCTTACTAACTTTCTTTGTTTCTTACACTATGTTTCTGTCTACAACATACTTCATTCATTTAGATTTTGTGGATTGTTCTTAAATTTTATTAGCCAAATATATAAAATAAAGTACAAACATATACATGGTATCACATATATAAAAAAATAAATATAAAGTACTTTATAAGGTTAATTTTTTCTTGCCGATAATGGCGTGTCTTTTTATGACAAAGAAACTATTTAAAAGTTAGACGGATTCGAATAGCAAAGAAAGGACAAAGACAAAAATTTTTTATTTTTAATTTATTGAAATTTGGCTGACCATACAACGCTGTTTCGAGTATTGCCAAGTACTTTTCATCAGTGGTCTTTGGAAATAATCGAATTTTATTTAATTAGTTTATAGTCCGTATATAGTCCAAACAAATTATATACGGACTATAAACTAATTAAATAAAATTCGATTATTTCAAAAGACCACTGATGAAGAGTACTTGGCAATACTCGAAACAGCGTTATAAAGTACTTTATATTAGAATTTATTTTTTAAACAATATTTTTCGTTAAATGGTAAAAATTTTAAAGGCAAAAATTAAAATTCCCTTAAACTTTAATTTCTCTTTTTATATCCATTTCATTAGGTGTGTTTTAGTTTTCTTCCGCTATAAAAATAAGTACGTTTTAATAAAGCCCCTAATAGATTGATCATATTTCTTTAATGGAAATATATTTCTACAGTGAAGATTCATATTGATGTATGAAATATGGGTAGGACTTCTTTACATATTCTAATGGTTTATGGGAATGAAACTTAAAATAGTACAAATTTATTTACGTCATTCGCTCATTGTGTCATATCATAGGGAATAATTTTTACCAATTTTTATAATAATGCTTTCATTTTATAAAATTCTAGTTAAAGTGGTTGTGAAAAATTATATCATCAACCGAAGCGGAAATCAGTTTTTATTATAAAATTTTCATTTTGAGACAAATTGTGAAATTAAAATTATTTTGTGTTATAAATACGTCCACTTATATTTTATATTTATATACACTTATATATATAACCACACACACTTATTATTCAGTAAAAAAGGCCCGCGTAGAAGATTTAAAACTGATTGGACGATATTTTCTGTGTTAGGGGTGCATCCATAAATCCACAAATTACCTTTGCTTTATTATAGAAAGGTTTTTAAAATTCTGTTATCCACTTAATTCAATGAACATTAATTTACTTTAGTCTGTGTTTAGTTTTAGCACGTCAGCTTATAACCGGCACCGTAACTCCGAATATCGTCACACCCACATCGTACTGCATATGTGTACCAGCGGGATCCTGTCCGAACCCAATAACAAACCCAACCGATGGCAGTGGCCAAATTGATATACGCATTGTTAACAATGTGAGTATAACACATTAAACATGTTCATTGACGAACACTGAATTTGATGACCTCTTAGCCTGCAGTATCGCCAGTGCCTGTGCCATTTACTTGCAGTTATGGATTAACAATTTGTTGTCAAGCTGGCACATACCAATGTGGGCGTCGCTATCCTCCACCTCCAGGTAGTGCAACTGCCGGTGCTGGACAAGCAGATTTTGGAGAATATCCATGGCAAGTAGCGTTACTAACAACTGGTGAAGTATACCTGGGCTCCGGTGCATTAATAACAGCACAGCATGTTTTAACAGCTGCTCATAAGGTTTATAATGTGTCGTAAGTGGATGTAAAATTGAAATACTATTTTAGTTAATTAACTAAACATTACCGAATTATTATTAAATCTTAATAGACCAGCGTCATTTAAAGTTCGTGTAGGTGAATGGGATGCAGCAAGTACCTCTGAACCAATACCCGCACAAGATGTTACTATAGCAAGTGTTTTTATACATCCCAGTTTTAACAGCGCTAATCTCCAAAACGATGTAGCCATTTTGCGGCTATCAACTCCTGTTTCACTTATGACTAAATCTACTGTTGGTACTATCTGCTTGCCTACAACATCATTTGTTGGTCAACGTTGTTATGTAGCTGGTTGGGGTAAGAATGATTTTGGACCAAACGGTGCTTATCAGGCTATTCAACGTGAAGTCGATGTGCCGCTTATACCGAATGCGAACTGTCAAACCGCTTTGCAAAATACACGATTGGGTGCTACATTTATATTAAACAATGGTAGTTTTATCTGCGCAGGAGGAGAGGCTGGTAAAGATGCGTGCACTGTAAGTCCAATTTCGAATCGTCTGATTTCAAATCGTATTTAATTACTTTTCTAATTTCAATATAAAAGTAATAAAATTAAATATATTTTTAGGGTGATGGAGGCTCGCCCTTAGTATGTCAAAATTCAGGAATATGGTATGTTGTTGGCTTAGTTGCTTGGGGTATTGGTTGCGCAACTGCAGGCATACCTGGCGTTTATGTTAATGTAGCAAATTTTTTGCCTTGGATACAGACAACTTTAGCTTCGTAGTTCTTAAGTATGCCATGAATTATTTATTTTTTTTTTTATGAATGTAAAATTATAAATAAACTTATTGCTTTACTGTTCTAAAAACAAATATTTTGATTCTGAAGTTTCAAAAAAATGTTGTTGTAGAAGCAGAAATATTTACCAAAAGCAGTTGGAAATGGATAAATTTATCCATAGCGATAATTGTGAATCTGAAGTAAGTTCAGATGAAGTACAGTGCCGCAATTCGTTTATTCGTTCTGTACTAGATGTCAAAGCATGGTTCAATCCCAAAACTTTACACCCCATGGTGGAGACAATTATTTATTGGCATGACAAGAAAATCTCTGGATTGGTATTTTTTGCAGTCATTGCTTTTCTTTTCGTTTCTGCTTGCTTCTCTTTCCTCAGTATCATTGCGTACGGAGCGTTATTTCTCTTGGCGACTATTTGGGTTATTAAAGTTTTTGGGATCATAATGCAATTGCTCAAATATAACATAGATGACCATATATTAACCAAGATATTGGATCTAAATATGTGCATTCCTTCCGATCTGGCACAAGAAGTTACAAAAAGAACTGTTCCTATCATTAACATTTACATATCTAACATTTATCGCTTGTTTTTGTTTGAAAATATGTCGAAAACATTTAAATTTGCACTTTTACTGTGTTCTTTGGCTAAAATTGGATTAATTTTCAATTTAACTACTTTATTAGCTATAATTTTCATTTTATTGTTCACACTTCCGAAGTTGTATGAAGTACATTACCAAACTGTAGATAGAATCATAAAAGTTGTTCAAAATGCCTCCGAGGAAGCCTCAGAGCGGTTCAGAAATGCATTAATGATTGGAAAAACCAGGTCTACTACAACCATTGACAGCACGGACAGTGAAAACACTACACAAATGTCGTGAAGTTGATAAAGTGAAAAATTTATTTTTCTAAAAGAAAATATTTTGCAATTATATTAAATTGTATCGTTTTAAAAACAAACGTAATGTTTTACTGTATTAATTTTTATTAAAAATAAAGAATGAAAATGATTTGTTCTGTTTAATTTAGTCACTTGTACACTCCTCTCTTACCGGTGTCATAACAAAACATTAGCTCGTTGTTCTGCTTATTCAATTTCAAGTTCTTTATTGACGGTGTAAGACAATCGAAAACCAAAAGTCCCATAGTGCCCTCACGGCATAACCAATTTGGTGGTACGTCAAGAGGCCTTACAGACCACGTCCACTGTGCTCACTAAAAGCAGATTGCATCATCGGGCACTGTATTATCGCAATATTTTCGTTCGACTTAGTTTGTTGCCTCGTGAAAATATTTTATATCCACTAATTACAAATATCATTTTATTTTGCTGTCTTATACTTATCCGAGCTGCTATTGTCCTTTATGGCGAAAATTCCATTCTCACAGTGTTGTGTCACCCCTACACTTTGCTTTTAAGTGATGAAGCTATTGGCTATTACCACTAGTCATCCTTTATTGTGGTTTTATCAGAAGATTTAATTTTAAGACTACAATATACATGGCATTCCACTGTGTACGTTCAGGTACTTCAGATAATGCATAACAAATAGTTCAGTACTTTTTTTTCGCATTAGGGGGAAAACACTAGTGGACTACAGTGTAAAAAGCAAGAAGCAACTCATCGTTGGAAATGACGCTAATGCACACCACACGATTTGGGGCAGCACCAATATCAATAAAAGAGGTGAATGTCTATTTGAATTTATTACAGGAAACAACCGAAATATAAACAGAATCAGGGAAGAGGTACTAGACATAACCCTATCCACACAATTTATAAAACACTTTATCAAAAACTGGAATGTCTGAAATATCTATGTCTGATCATCGTCAGATAAGATTTGATATTGATCTAAATATGAAAGTAACGGAATCGTATAGGGTGCCTAGGGCCACTGAGTGAGACCTATATACAGACGAACTCAAGGCCAACCTAGGCAATATACGATAAACAACATTCATAATTTAGCAATAGCTGATGCTGACTTAAGCACAATTAATATAAATGCCTACCATGGGGCCTGTCCAGGGAAAATTAAGACCGGCAGCAGAAGTGCATCATGGTGGAATAAAAAGTTAGCCAAGCTAAGAGTCAAGTCCCGGAGACTATTCTACAAGACAAAAACCTCACCTCACCGCCTATAATAAAGAAATTAGAAGGGCAAAAAGAGAATCATGGAGAAGCTTCTGCTCAGAGATTCAAAACTTAAGCAGTAGCGCTAAAATTCACAGGGTCATCTCAAAAAGCCACATTAATCCCATTGGGCTTCTGAAACGACCTGATGGTCTTTATACCAATGACTGCAAAGAGTCACTTATACTTCTAACAGAAGTACACTTTCCAGGATCTGCAATTTACGACCAACATTAGATAAAACTAAGTGTGACAAAAATATTTTTTTGCAATTTACCTCCAACAATAACAATAAAATCCAGTTTTAATGCAATATGCACAAACATTGTCGTTGTGTAAATACTTTTGACTATGGCTGTATATATTTATAGTAAGTGGCAATTTTATAAAAATAGTGTGTTGACATTTATTTTGGCATAAGATTTATTTAACCCCTTTATGAATGAGAAAAATTTGCACCAACAGGTGCGCTCTCAACTGTAGAAAGCACTTTCTACTTCATACGAAAACTTTCAACAGTTTAATTTATAGAATAAGTACACGAGCCTTATACAACCCACTAATCAAACAGAGAAGGAGAGCATAACTTAGTAACAACAATTCGACTGCCTTACTTTCACGAAAATTTTATTTTATTGTTAATTTAAAAATAGAAATAAAAAAATACACGTAGGATATAAAAAAATATTCACCACTTTAGTCAATTTTTACACCACATTTCAAATTTAAAATTAGTAATATTTTATACCACGCGTTTGTGAAACATTAAAATAATAATGAAAAATTCTTTTATATACTGTATTAAATCAAGTTTTATTTAAATTAATTTTCCGAAAACTTCAATAACATTGTTATTGCATTTCTTAATATTTTATTTCTATTCAACTAAGACATTTATGCACACTAATAACAAAAGTGTTGGAGTTTGCGCAAATATTTTAGTAGACTGTATAAACTCTTAAATAAATATTAGTGTCAATACATTTAAGAGAAAAAAATGCCGGAAATAATCTCTTTTTTGAACCTTCTAGATATTTACGATCTAATTCCTTATAGTAGTGGTAGGATTCTTTATTCTTCATTTAAAAACATACAATAATTACCCATACTATATACATTATTTACTTAATTAAAGCTATGACCTGATGTCATCAGATTAACTTAGCGATTGCCTACTTTTTTTATCCCTCTAATCTTGTATCGAATTTGATATTATAATTAGTATAACTATTGTTATTAATACCCTATATATCAATTAATAATAATACAATACATGTATTGTATTATTATAAGAATTACTATAAAGTTTACTATTAAAGTTGTATTGATTAATTTTTTATAAGTACTTAATAGTTGTAACGACTTTATATTATGCATTAAAAGAATAACTATTCAAGATAAAATATATAAATGTTAGAACTTAAAAGTAAGGTAAAATGTTTAGAAACTATTTCTCTCTCTGAATTTCTAAATAAATAAAGACTTCTCTACCCATGCAATTCTATTTAAACTGTAAACCCAATAAGATGTAGTGGAAGATAAAATTTTCATGATATTAGATTTCTTTTATATTCATTTTATATAACAAAAATATCCAACCAATATTTTAAAATGTTTATGATGAATAATAATTTTATTGTCTAAAAATCTGTCAAGTTTTGTTCACCAATCGAATATTTTTAAAGTAATCTAACATTTTTGTACCAATGTTAGTCGATATTTATATTTTTCATAAATATATATATCGAATCAAATCATAGTTTACCTATTAAATCATATAAAACAGTTGATAATTTTATTATATTAATAATAAAATGTAATACATTTCGCTTCAGATTTAGCAATCGAAAATAAAATTGTACAAAAAGTGCATTGAAAAAATTGCCTTAAATTTATCAATCGAAAACGCAATTAGAATACCCTAAGTTATAAAGTATTATGATACGTTGCCCTTATCACCGTTGAGTAACAAATATCAGGTCACAACTTTACTCAACGGCGATAAGGGTAACGTATCATCATGGCTTTTTAAATACATCCCAAAAACAAACAACCATTCGACCAAGCTATCTGTGTATAATGAAGCCTGAACAGCAGTAGAACAAAACAAGACCAATCCCGCCATCATTTCTCACCTGCCTAAACCTACGTAAATTTTTTTAAGTAGGACTTTTTTAAACATATTCAACATCACATCTGAAATAAAAAAACTAAAATGTCTTCCCTCTTTAAAGAAAAACTTTTGCTGCCAAAACTGTTTTTAGTTAAAACTTTTCTGAATGCAATTCTTAGGTTTACATCACAAAAAAATGTGATATCTTTAAATGCAGTTTGGAATTATTGTTTCTACGCTATAGCATTAGTTTTATATATTAAGCTTTTATAGTTTTGATTTTATACAAATAACATAATATACAAGAATATTACATTGGAGCGTTTTATATGTCTTTATCATCATCAAAGCAATGTAGCGTTTCTATATCTACACCAAAAAGTGAAGGCTATCTTTTAAGTCACTATTATTTTTATCAGCGTCTCATCCTCCTCCTGATGCAAAATTTTCTTTTTTGTTTTTTTCCTGATTATTCTAGCGACACTTCCATATCAATATATTCTATATGATTTATTGGCACCAGCTCCTTTTTTTAAAAGAAACATATAGCCTTTAAAAATTAGTAGTTCTATCCTATTCAGTTTTGATCTCTGAATCTTAAATTTGTTTTCAACTTTGCTGCTTTTAAGCTAATGTTAAGTCAGTATAGGTCTCCAATTTATTTAAAACAAACAAAATTTTTTTAAATATGTTAAATTATGTCCAATAAGCTAACGTACAAAATATACTTTATGCTCTACCTATTTTTACATGCAACCTTAACTTCATTCAGTATGTTTGTATTTGTTTAACGTC